GTATTTCTGTTTTACTTCTGGTGATGAATCCGCGGATGATGTTTTTCGGAGGAAAGATAAGGTCATGGCAGTTTCAACGATTGACTTGCTTTCCGGTAATTTGATACCTTTAGTGGTGAAGTAAGATTTGACGGAAGATACCAATGATTCATTAGATTCAGTTTCGAGCTCCTTAGATACCTCCTCGGTCAATTGTAGAGATCCATCATCTTTTTGTTTCGATACAATTTCGTGGACCTTCTCAGTTGAAGTAGATTGTTGAACGGTTGCAACGGCATCTTTCTTCTCTTTCTGAACGCTTTGACCTATGATAATCTTATCCGAAGTGGTTAATAGCTCATTTACTAACTTATCATCTTTAAGTTCCTCAATAAGGTACTGTCTGGCTTTCTCAGATTGTAATTTGTATTTTTCGGGTTGAAGTTTTGAAGCAATAGTCAAATATCTGAGATTTAAAGCTGTTTCCCATGCATTATGGGAGACATTTTTTAATTGTTCGCTGATGCCATAATTCTGGACTGTCGTTTTTAAGTTGTCAGAAGATATATCAAGTTGTTTGGTTACATGTTCGTTCAATTTAATCGAACCATCGGTTTGTTGAGTTGAAACGATCTTTTGGGTGGTTTCGGGAGTGATCTTAGACTGAAGGGTGATAATTTCATAACCGTGATAGACAGAATCAGGACCAGAAGAGAATGCTTCGCTCCCGATTTTATCGTAACCGCTTTGGATTACATTAGTGGCTGTGGATCCAACACTTGAAACGCCTTCCCAAATCGAAATCCAACTTGACTTCTCCTTTTCTTTTTGTTGCTTTTTCTCGTCAGACCTTTGTTTAATTGTTTTTTTAGAAATCTTTTCTACCACGACCTTTTCGCATGATTCCAAGATTTCTTTTTCTAATTTTTCGTCCTTGATTTGGTTGTGTAACCACTCACGAGCCTTTTCGTTTTGAACTTTCCATCTCGAATCGTGTTTAGCTAATACCTTATTGCAGTAAGCCAATGTTATGAACGTGTTCCAAGTTTTAATGTCCAATTTCTTGACTCGCTCATCAGTGACACGAATTGAGGATACAATGTCTTTTGTTGTGGTTATCTCAAGGTCTTCGGTAATTTTTTCGGAAATTTCAAACGAACCATCATTATTTTGAGTTTTGGTAACCTTATCGACCTAATATATATAAATTAGATTGTAAGTATGAATGTAATACAAGGTATCATATGTTAGTTGATTATTCAGTTAGATAGTAACAAACCTCTTCTACGGTAACGGATTCTTGCACTTTGTTTACGACCGCTTGATTGGCTTTTTCTTTGACAACTTTTTTAGTTGCCTGTTCAACAACAAATTTATCAGTTGTTTCCAATAATTGCTTTTCTAATTTTTCATCACCTAACTGTGTGCTTAAATATTTTCTTGCTTTTTCGTAACTTTCTTTATGATCAGCTTCTGAAGATGGGGCGGTCTTTTTGAGGAATGATAATGATAATGCAGTATTAATCAATGATTGGCTCTCCGGTGATTTTAATTTTTTGTCACTGAAATAAGTTTGAACTGAAGAAACTAGAGATTTTGAAGAAGTAGCTTCAAGGTCTTTAACAACTTTATCATCAAGAGTAAATGATCCATCCTCTTTTTGATTAGATACAACTACTTTAACAGTTTCCGGCGAAGTGCAACTTTTAATAGCGGTGACGGCTGCTTTCTTTTCTTCGTTAACTACTTTTTTGGTACTCTTCTCCACGACAAATTTCGTTGATGCGTCTAATAATTCTTTCTCTAATTTTTCATCTTTAAGTTGTTGACTTAAATACTTTCTTGCTTTGTCTTGCTGTTCTTTGACTTGATCTTGATGTTGAGATCCAGAAGTTCCTAAAAAGCTTAAGCTAATCGCCGTTTCCCATATATCCTGAGGAAGTTTCTTTAGTTTATCACTTACTGCATAAGTTTGAACTGATGATGTAATATTGTCGGATGAAACGTCAATTTGTTCGGACACGACCTTGTTTAATTTGATAGATCCGTCGCTTTTTTGAGCTGAAACAACATCTTTGACGGTATCAACGGTGGTCTTTGATTGGAGGACCACAAGCGCTGCAGCCTTCTCATTCTTCTTTTCTTCCCGAATTACTTTACTAGTTGTTTTTGCGACGACTAATTTTTGAGATGCTTTCAATAATTCTTCTTCCAAAGTCTCGTCATTAATTTGTTCCTTGATATATTTTCTAGCTTTTTCGTATTTCTCCTTCCACTGGCTTTCATGAGCAGGTGATGTAGTTTGAAGATAGGCAATAGTAACAGCGGTATTAAAAACTTTAGGATTTTCAATCTTTTTCAATTTTTCACTCGTTACATATTTCTTTGCTGTTGTTGTAAGGGTTCCTGAAGAGACGTCAAGATCTTTGCAAACTACTTCACTTAACCCAAATGATCCATCTTTTTCGTCGTGAGTTGAAATGACGGTTTTGGTCGTTTCTTCATTGGTCTTTGATTGAATTGTCACTAAGGCTGCCTTCTTTTCGGTATTCTTCTTTTCTTTTGTTTGTTTGAGGGCCGTCTTTTCTATCACGAATTTATCCGACGTTTTAATGATTTCTTCTTCTAATTTTTCGTCACCTACTTTCTCACTAAGATACTTTCTAGCTTGATCGTACTTATCTTTCCATTGTCCTTGATGGGCGGTTGCGTTGTTTTTCAGGAAACTTTAGAATCAAAGGTAAGGGAAGTTGGAATATTAGTAACAGAAATGTTTATTCAAAAGTCAATTTTTATTTTATTTACCTTAGTGTTGCGGCCGTAGACCAAATCGAAGAATCTGAATTCTTCTTTAATTTTTCATTGGTGGTATACTTTTGAATGTTGGATACCAAGGTGTTTTCAGAAGACACATCCAATTTATCTGAAACTTCTTTACTTAATTCGAATGAACCATCCGTTTTCTGTTTGGTGATAATGGCTTGTGTGGTCTCAGCTGTGGTGGATAATTGTGCTTCAGTAATCGCATCACGTTTCTCTTTTTGTTTTTGCTTAATAGCAACCTTTTCGGTGGTTTTTTGTACCACAATCTTTGAACAAGTTTTAAGAATCTCCTCTTCTAATTTGTCATCATTAATTTGTTCATGAAGGTATTTTCTCGCCTTCTCATATTCCACTCTCCAAGTTTCTTCATGTGCTGAGGCGGAGGTTTTTAGGTAACTTAATGTCAAGGCTGTTGACCACCAATGGTGGTTGGAGATAGTTTTTTGTAGAGATTCGCTGACGGCGTAGTTTTTGACGGTAGTAACTAAGGTTTCCCTTGTTACATCAACTTGTTTGCAGACGTCTTCGGACAAATCAAAAGACCCATCTTGTTTTTGGGTGCTGGTAACCTTCTTTATGGTCTTGACATCCGTCTTTGATTGTACGGCAAGTAAAGCAACACGTTTTTTCTTTTGTTTTTCCTTTAGAGAAACTTTGGCGGTGGTCTTCTCAACTAAAATCTTTTCACTCGTTTTCAAGATTTCTTCCACCACCTTTTCATCTTTGACTTGTTCAGAGAGATATTTCCTTGCCTTTTCGTATTGTGCCTTCCATGTGTCTTCGTGAGCCGAAGCCGAAGTTTTGAGGTAGTTAATCGTCAATGCAGTAGACCACCAATCTTTCTTGTCCACGTGTTTCTTTAATTCTTCACTTACAGCGTAAGTCTTGACGGTTGTAATTAAAGAATTTGATGAGTCGGTAATATCAAGTTGGTCGGAAACCGTCTTGTTGAGCTCGAATGATCCATCAGATTTTTGGGATGAAACAACAGCCTGTGTAGTTTCGACGGAAGTCTTTGATTGAATCTTGGCCAAAGCGACTCGTTTTACTTTTTGTTTTTCTTTGCGAGAAACCTTTTCCGTGGTCTTATCATAAACATATTTTTCGCAAGAACGAAGCAACTCGCTTTCCAATTCTTCGTTGTTGAGTTCTTTGTGAAGGTATTCTCTGGCCTTTTCATATCCGATTCTCCACGTTTTTTCATGAGCGGTGGCAGTTGTTTTGAGATAGCTGGTTTTTTTTTTAAAAAAAAAAAATTGTCAACTTCTTTTCTCTTAGGTCTCAAAAGACAAATAGGAAATTCTAAAATACTCACCTTAAGGTTATTGCTGTAGAGATTAATTTGCTATCAACTTTTTTGAGTTTTTCGTTAACGATGTAAGGTTGAACGGAGGAAGTTACAGTTTCCGATGTAACATCAATACTCTTGGTAATGGTTTCGCTAATATCAAATGAACCGTCTTGTTTTTGTGTCTTACAAACAACTATGGCAGTTTGAGGAGTCGTCTTCGTTTGTACATGAACAAGGGCGGTTTGTTTTTCTTTGCGAATCACTTTTTCTGATGCCTTCTTGATAACAAATTTGTTGGTCACATTTGAGAGTTCTTCCTCCAATTCGACGCTATTAAGTTTTTTGCTAAGGTATTTCTTCGATTCTTCATATTTTGTTCTCCATTCACCTTCGTATTTATTTGCCGCGATCTTAAGATAGTTTAGCGAAACAGCAGTGCTATATATGCTTTCATCAGCAACGTTCTTAAGTTTGTCACTAACGTCACAAGTTGAATTGATCGTAGAAACTAATTTGTCGGATTCAATGTCAAGCTTCTTGGTGATTACACTACTCAATGGGATTGATCCGTCCTCTTTCTGAGAGGAGACGATAGTTTTGGTTTTTTCCAAAGTGGTTGAAGATTGTATAACAGTAATGGCCTTTCTTGTTTGCTTCTTTTCAACCTTTTCTGTGGCTTTAGTGATGACATACTTGGAACAAACTGCTAAAAGCTCCTCTTCTAAATTTTCATCCTTGATTTGCTCCTTCAAATATTTCCTTGCACGTTCATATTGAATATTCCAATGTGGTTTATGTTGAGGTGCTGCTGTTTTTAGGTAACAAATTGTCAGGGCCGTTGAGAACCAAGCAGAATTCGAAATTTGTTTGATTGATTCGCTCTCTGTTTTTGATTGAATTGAAGTGATCAAAGTCTCTTTGGATGCTATATCAAGCTTCTTTCGGATAACATCGCTTAATTCAAAACGACCGTCTTCTTTTTGAGTAGATACAATGGTTGTAGTTTTCTCAAGGGTTGTGGACGTTTGAACTGCAACGATAGCGGCTTGTTGTTTTTCAACGACAATTCGATTTACCTTTTCTTCTTCGGTTTCATCGCGAGTAGAATAATCAATGCTTTGATAGATGGAGTCGACACCAGTTGTGATTGATCGAGAAATGCTACCAAAGACGTCACCAAGACCCCAACCTCGTGATTGTACTTTCTGATCTCTTTTCTTATCAGACGTTTGTTTAATTGTTTTCTTAGAGACCTTTTCAACCACAACCTTTTCGCATGATTCCAAGATTTCTTTTTCTAATTTTTCGTCCTTGATTTGTTTGTGTAACCACTCACGAGCCTTTTCGTTTTGAACTTTCCATTTCGATTCGTGTCCACTTAGTACCTTATTGCAGTAAGCCAATGTTATGAACGTGTTCCAAGTTTTAATGTCCAATTTCTTGACGCGTTCATCAGTGACACGAATTGAGGATACAATGTCTTTTGTTGTGGTTATCTCAAGGTCTTCGGTAATTTTTTCGGAAATTTCAAACGAACCATCATTATTTTGAGTTTTGGTAACTTTATCGACCTAAAATATATAAATTAGATTGTAAGTATGTAAAATTAAAGGTGTCACGTTAATTCATTCCTCAATTAAATAATAATAATCAACCTCTTCTACGGTTACGGTTTCTTGCACCTTTTCGAGGACTACTTTGTGGGCCTTTTCTTTAACTACTTTCTTCGTTGCATGATCAACAACAATTTGATCGGTCTTTTCTAATAATTCTTTTTCCACTTTCTCGTCTTTTATTTGAGTGCTTAAATATTGCTTCGCCTTTTCGTATTTCTGTTTTACTTCTGGTGATGAATCCGCGGATGACGTTTTTCGGAGGAAAGATAAGGTCATGGCAGTTTTAATGATTGAATCGTTTTCGGGTAATTTGATATCTTTATTAGTGAAGTAAGATTTTACAGTGGAAGCAAGTGATTCGGTAGATTCGGCATCAAGTTCTTTAGTGACAGTCTCGGTTAATTCTAAGGATCCATCGACTTTTTGATTTGATATAATTTCGTGGACCTTCTCAGTTGAAGTAGAGTTTTTAATAGCACCGGACACAGCCTTTTTCTCGTCAGTGATTACTTTCTCTGTGCCCTTTTCTACGATGATCTTTTCTGAGGCAGTTAATAATTCTTCCACTAATTTTTCGTCTTTAACTTCATTAATCAGATATTTTTTCGCCTTGTCATACTTATCAGCCCATTCAGTTTTATGTTGATCGCCTGTCTTTTTCAAATATTGAATCGAAAGAGCCGTTTTCCACCATTTGTCACTCTCTTTTGATTTAAGTTTCTCACTTTTAACGTATGATTTAACGGTGTCATTAAGGTTTTCGTTAGAAACGTCAATCTTTTCCGTGATGACCTTACTCAATTGGAAGGAACCGTCTGATTTTTGATCGATTAAAACTTTCTTTGTATCTTCAACAGTGTTCTTTGATTGAAGAGAAATCAGCGCCGCTGCCTTTAAATCCTTCTTTTCCTGTCGTTCCTGTTTGCGGACAACATTTGTAGATGATTCAACGATCAATGTTTGGGATGCCCTCATCAATTCCTCTTCTAAATCCGCATCCTTGATTTGCTTTGAGAGATATTCTCGAGCCTGATTATACTTTTCCTTCCAATTACTATCGCGAGCAGATGATGTATTTTCTAAATAGGTGATAGTAATGGCCGTGTTGAATAGTTTGGGATTGTCAATCTTTTTTAATTTGTCGCTTGTCACGTATTTCTTTGCCGTTGTAACAAGAGCTCCTGAAGGAATGTCAAGATGCTTACAAACTACATCATTTAATCCAAAAGAACCATCTTTTTCTTGAGTTGAAACGACGGTTTTAATGGTTTCTTCGGTGGTCTTTGTTTGAATAGCTAACAAAGCCTTTTGCTTTACTACTTGCTTCTTCTCTTCAACTTGCTTAACCACGATTTTTTCTTTTACCAATTTGTCCGCTGCTTTCAACATCTCATCCGCAGCTTTCTCATCGTTTCCGAGTTGTACTTTGAGATAATTCTTCGCTTGATCATACTTTTCCTTAACTTCAAGCGAACCAGAATTAATTTTCAGATAATTTAAACTTAACGCGGTAGTCCAAGCTGATTCCGAAGCATTCTTGACTTTTTCATTTGTAGTTATGGTACTAACGGTGGTCTTCAAATTTTCCTTGTTGATATTTAGATCCTTACTGACTGTATCGCTTAATTCAATTGATCCATCACTCTTTTGTTTAGAAATGATAGATTGGGCTTTATCGGGCGAACAGCTTTTTTGAATGTCAGAAATTGCTTGACGCTTCTCGGCTTTCTTCTGCTTAGAGATAACTTTCTTTGTAGATTTATCAACGACGAGTTTCGAAGTGACTTTCAAAACTTCTTCCTCAATAGCGCTGTCATTAATTTGTTTCTTGAGATACTCTCTAGCTTTCTTGTATTCTACCGTTGACTCGTCAGTTGAACCGCTAACTTTTAGGTAGGAAATAGTGACCGCGGTTGAAATAACATCATCATTAAGCTTCTTCTCTTTGATGTATTTCTTCAAGGTTTCATTGGTGGTATAAATTATCAAAGAATTGTTTAGAGTTTCTTTGGAAGAAATGTCAAGATGTTGAGCGATGGTATCAACAAGTGTGAATGATCCATCACTATTTTGCGATTCTTTAACAACTTTAATGGACTTGACATCGGTTTTTGATCGAACGATAGACAATGCGGCTTGCTTCTCCTCCTTCTTTTGTTCTTTTGTAACTTTATAGGTGGTCTTTTCCACAACTACCTTCTTGGTCGTTTTCAAGATCTCCTCTTCCAAATCGGCGTCACCAACTTTTTTGCTGAGATACTTTCTGGCATGTTCATATTGCACTTTCCAGGTTGATCCATAGGTTAAAGCGTTGTGTTTTAGATAATTAACTAAAAAAGATTAAACGAGATTGTGAAACACAAAGGATTAGTATCGATTGATCAAATCGAAAAGATGCGCTCATCGAACAAAAAACGAATTGCATGTTTGTATTTTTCCATCCTTACTTGTGACTGCAGTTGTCCAAACTGAATCATCTTTAACTTTATTCTTGACACGCTCGTTCGTTGCAAAAGCGCGACAAGTATTAACTAAAGTGCTCGTTGATGAAACGTCGAGTTGCTTGCTTACTTCATCACTCAATTCAAATGACCCGTCTGATTTTTGAGTTGTAACAATTTTCTTGACAGTTTCTTCTGTAGTCTTCGATTGAGCGATAGTCAAGGCGATTCTCTTTTGTTTTACTTTTTGTTTTTGGACTACAACACTAGTGCTTTTTCGTACAACGAATTTCTTACAAGCTTTCAAGAGTTCTTCTTCTAATTCTGTGTCCTTGATTTCATTGCGAAGATATTTTCTGGCTTTCTCATATTGAACTTTCCAGTGTTGTTCTTGTGAGGAAGCTGTGCTCTGCAAGTAGCTGATGGTGACGGCGGATTCAATCAATTTTTTATTTTGAACTTGAGTAAGTTTCTTTAATTTTTCACTAACTGCAAATGATTTAATGGAAGTAACGAGAGTTTCGGAGGATGAAACTTCAAGATGCTTGCTAAGATCTTTGCTCAATTCAATTGAACCGTCAGATTTTTGGGTTGATACAATGCTAATTACGGTCGCGGCTGAAGTCTTATTATTGAGATAAGTCAAGGCTTCTTGTTTCTTCTTTAATTTATCTTTAATGATTGCTTTGTGCGTTGTTTTATGAACAACTAATTTTTCACACGACTTCAAAATTTCTTCTTCTAATTTAGCATCCTTAACTTTTTCACTTAGATACTTTCTTGCCTTTTCGTACTCAACCTTCCAGTGTTTCTCGTGAGCGGATGCTGTAGTTTTGAGATAACTGATCGCTAATGCTGTTGAAATGATTGTATCATCTTTAACCTTCTTTACTTTTTCGCTAACAGCGTATGAGTGAACGACACTGGTCAACGATTCCTTTGAGACATCGACATTCTTGCTGAGGGTTTCACTGAGTTCAATTGATCCATCTTGTTTTTGGGTGGACACGCTTTCTTTGGCCGTACTTACAGTCGTTTTGGATTGAACCTTAGTCAAGGCTAATCTCTTTTCTTTTTTGACTTGCTTGCGAACAACGTTTGTGGTGGTTTTATGAATTACAACTTTCTTTGCAGCTTCTAATAACTCTTCTTCCACCTTCTTATCTTTAATTTGAATGCTCAAGTACTCTCTGGCCTTCTTATATTGAACTTTCCAAGTGGATTCGTGAGCGGTACAATAATTTTCAAGGTAATTTAATGAAATCGCCGTCTTCCAGATATCAACATTCGTCACCTTCTTCAAACTTTCAGTGGTGGAATATGTTTTCACAGAGGTGAGGACGGATTCATTTGAGATGCCACAATTCTTGGTGATTACCTCACTTAATTCAAGGCTACCGGTATCTTTTTGTGTTGAAACGATGGATTGGGCATGTTCCGCTGTTGTCTTTGACTGGACGTGCAACAAGGCGGTTCGCTTTTCCTTCTTCTTTTGTTTGTAAATGACCTTTGAACGGCTTCTATCAACAATGAGTTTCGAGCATGATCTCAGTATTTCTTCTTCAAGCTCAACGTCCTTAATCTGTTCTCTCAAGTACTTCCTCGCACGTTCATATTCAACCTTCCAAGTTTCTTTATGAGCACTGGCGACAGTACTCAAATAGGAACATGTCAGAGCAGTGGAGATAACGGTATCATTGACGACGGACGCGGTTTTGACGCGTTCGCTAACGGCATATGATTTAAAGGAAGAAACAATGTTTTGTGTGGAGGTAGAAACAAGATCAAGTCGTTGGCTAATTTCATTAGAGAGGCTAAAGGAACCATCTTGTTTTTGTACTTTGATGATCTTTTTCGTGGTCGTAACATCGGTTTTGGATTGGATATGGGATATTGCGATCCTCTTTTCCTTTTGCTTTTGTTTACGAACAGCGGTTTCAGAAGTCTTTTCCATCACTAATGTACTACAGACCGATAAAACTTCCTTCTCTAGTTCCTCGTCATTACATTGACTGGTAAGCCATTTCTTTGCATGTTCGTATTTTGATTTATAATGAGATTCATGTGTGGAAGCCGTGGTCTTGAGATATGCGAGTACGGTCGCGCATTCAATGATTTTAGCATTGGTTATCTTCTTGACCTTTTCGCTGACGTCATAAGACTTGATGGTGGTCAGTAACGATTCCGATGAAGATACATCGATACGTTTGCAAACTTCTTCACTTAATTCAAAAGCGCCTTCTTGTGTTTGTTTTGAGCAAATGGCCTTTGCTGTGTCAACTGTGGTCTTTGATTGAATGTGTAATAAGGCGGCACGTTTCTTTTTGACGACAACCTTTTGCGTAGCTTTTTCCACGTATAGCTTATAGGAAGCTTCCATTAATTCTTCTTCTAATTTGGCATCTTTGATCTGAATGCTTATCCATTTCCTTGCGGTTTCATATTGAGCCTTCCATTGAATATCATGTTGAGAGGCTGAAAGTTTAAGGTAATGGAGTTGAATTGCGGTTTGCCACACGGAGGTTTTCGTCGTGATCGTATCTTTGAGTTTATTAGACGTGGCATATGATTCACAAGTAGAAACAAAATTGTTATTGGAAACATCAAGTTTCTTTGAAATGGTTTGGTTCCATTCGAAATGATTCGATTTGAATGAGGATAGGATAGATTTTGTCTTTTCGATTGTTGTGGAAGTTTGAATGGAAGCCAAAGTGGAACGTTGTTGTTTTCGGATAACCTTTTGAGTCGCTCTTTCTACTACCAATTTTTTGCTTATGGCCAAGATTTGTTCTTCTTTCTCAACATCTTTGATTTGTTCTTTAAGGTATTTCCTTGCCTGTTCATATTGAACCTTCCAGTGGGTCTCATGTTGATTAGCACATGTCTGCAGATAACTGATCGTCAAAGCGGTCGAAACAATTTCGGCCTTGGTCGTTAATTGTTTGATTGACTCATCGGTGGTATAAGATTGAATCAATTTAATCGAGGACTCCTCGGAGATCTCAAGTTTCTTGGAAACAACCTCACTTAATTTGAAGTATCCTTCTGTATGTTGATAAGAAATGATTGACTTGGTCTTTTCAACTGTAGTAGATGATTGAACGGAAACAAGAGCTACACGTTTTTGCTCAACTGTGTAGGTGCTTTTTTCAACAGCTTCCGTTACGATGGACTTAGGTTGTGTGACTTGTACCGTGACTGGTTTGATCGTTGGTTCTTTTACCTTTGTTGGCAAAACTGTACGAGTGATTACGAAAAAGTAAATTTTTAGCTTTCATGTTAACGATAGTAAAGTGTTCGAACGTTTAAAACAGATGCTTCGCGAACCTGGTTTTGGGTATTCCTTCATGTCCGCTTCGATCGTATCAGGTTTTACTTTGTAAGTACTAATGACGAATTCCTTTGCAATATCAGTTAACTCTCGCTCAACTTCATCATTATTCACTTGTTGTTTTAACCATGCAGACGACTTCTCATATGATGATTTCCATTCGGTACGATGTTCGTAGGCCACCAAACGAAGGTAATAAAGCGATATGGCAGTTGTGATGATATTTTTGTCAAGTTTCGAAGTACGTTCAGATACGAAGTGACTCTGAATCGAAGTCTCGAAGGACTTGCTATCCGTGAAATTCAAAAGCTCAACGACATCATCATTGTAAATAAAACCTCCTTCTTCTTTGCAATGAGAAAGATATCTCTTGACAGAATCAACTGTAACGGTTTGTTTTACTTCTCGATAAGAAACTCTTCTCTTATTTAATCCTAAAATCATTTTTTTTTTTGACGAAATGAAAATCAAGACGAAGGTTGCATTGGTTAAAAAAAAAGAAAAAAGACCGCAAAAATCATCCTAAAATTTAGAAAAAATACAAACTAATTAGCTCTTGTCTCTTCTGTTCAACTTCATCTCGCTGAATTGCCTTTTGTTTGTTCTCAACGGCCGAAGCGAAACTATTATCATCTTCAATTGATGTTTTATCAACTTGATGTCGTTTGATAATAAAGTTCCTGGCACTTTCTAAAATTTCTTGTTCCAATTTTGAGTCACCATTACATTGAACTCTTAAATATTCGGATGCTTGATCATAAACCTTGACCCAATTTTGTCGAAAGTCTACGGCTACATAACGTAGGAACCAAATTGTAGAAGCGGTAACCCAAACATCCTGGTGAACTTTTGTGACACTTTCGCTATGGAAATGGGTTTGAAGTTCTTTTGTGAACTCCTCAGTGCTTTCAAATCCAAAGAATTCGGTAGTCTTATTGTTAAGGGGAACAGAACCAGCTTTGGTTTGATAATTGAGAATATAACGAACTTTTCGAGAAGTAATGGATTTACGTGTAATTATTTCTCGTTTATCTTGAAGATAAAAAAAAAAAAAAACGAAATGAAGTACGTCAATAGAAAATTCCAATGAAAGAAAAAGATGATACGTCAAAACAATTTTTCTATTCTTACCTCTTGTAACTAAACATTTTTGCTGTTGATCCTCATATTCTTTAATTTGGAACCTTTCGGTGATGAATCTTTCACAAGCGCCATATAATTTGTCCTCAAGTTCAATATCATCGATTTCTAAACTCAACCATTCTTCACTATTTGCAATAATCTTTGTCCACTCTTGACGATGTTTCCAACATAATAGTTTCAAATATGTGATCACTAATGCAGTACTAAGGACAGATTGGCTTAACGTTTGCAATCGTTCTTCAGCAATGGTGAATTTCTTGAAGACGCTCCTTAACTCTTCCTCGGATTTACAATTAAAGAAACGAGACAAGTTGTCAGAAAATTCAAAAGAACCGCTCGTAAGTCTCCAGCTGAAGAGAATGTAAAGGTGTTTAAGATCGATGGTTTCTCGTTTGAAGATAAAGCTCTCTTCCAAGTTAAAAGAGGTGGAAAAGAATTGGACTTCCATGTTCAACTCTCCTTTAAAAATTTTTCCAATTTGAAGCGAGAACCATTGTTCTACAAGATCACCGGCAGTGAAAGAACCATCTTCATTTCTACCAATCAACTTTTCAGTGTCAAGAACATAAGAACCAAGAGTTTTGTCAGAAATGAATAAATTTTCGTCCATAATCTCAAAGGTGATTTTTTCACCAGGGCCATGAATTGATACGTAATGAATTTCTTCCCAAACAGGGGCAAGTGTATCATGATTTGTTCGAGTTCGAATGATTTCTTTTGAAGAAGCATCAAGAATTTTAACATAAGGATCCGGTTTCGTTCCAAACCAACTTTGATTTGGAAGATCCTTGGCGCTTTTGATTCTGATTCTGAGGAGACCAATGACTTGATCTCCTGCGATAAAATCGTCGTCGTTTGCAGCTGCATCGTCGTGTGAAACGGGTTGAGGTTTAAATTTCAAGGAATCCTCGAAGGATTCATCTTCTTCTATTGATTCCGCGTCAACTTCGAACCTCTTCATGACGAAAATCTTTGCAGCCTCAAGAACTTCTTTTTCAACTTGTTCGTCTTTCACTTGTTCACTTACCCACAAAGCTGTCTTCTTATATTTATCAGCCCATTCGCCTCTGAAATCAACCATCACGTATCTCATATGCCAAATCATGACAGCTGAAATATACACGTTGGCATCAAGTTTTGAAGCTTTTGCATAACTAGCGAAATGTGTTTCGAAGATTTTCTTCGCCTCCTCAGCTGAACTGAATCCAAGAGATTCGGACATATGATCGGTAAGTTCGAAACAGCCCGTGTCTTTTTGAAAGCTGATATAACGACGTACTTGACGTACATTAATATTACGACGAGTGTTAATCGTTTTCTTTGGTTGGACTATCGAATAGTGATTAAAAATAAATAAATGAATAAATATAAGATTTTTTATTTAAAATGAATGAACGAATGAACGAATAGGAAGGTTACAAACGTACGACTTAAACCGAGACTCCTTTTTTGCTCTTCACTTTCCCAATCAGAGATTTTAAAGTGTTCAACGACAAATTTATTAGCCAAATTATATAATCGTTCTTCAGTTTCAAGATCGGTGACAGTTTCGCTCAAGTAAGTTTCAGTTTTTTGGTCAACTGTATTCCACTCTCGTCGATGAGCCCAGAATAAAGCTTTAAATAATGCTGTAAAGAGAAAATGAATTTAAAGAGATGATTAAATTCTCTGATCCGATTAATAAAAACAATAAATTTCATAATATTGAAGTTACCTGTAATTAATGCAGAACTCCAAACATCAACATGAAGAGCTTTCACAAGTTCGTCCTTTTGTACGTAAGTGGTAAATGCTTTTATTAACTCATCCTTGGAAGAAAAGTTAAACAAGCTTGCAACATTGTCATTTAATTCGAAACAACCATCTTGACGTTGATAAGTCATCAAAAGATATAAGTGACGAATTGTAATGGTAGTTTTCGATATAGTGGTGGTTGTAAATAAATCGGTCTCGTTTTGGGAAAAGGGATTAAAATCGGCGGTAAAATTAAGCTTTCCTTTACTAGATCCTTTTATTGACAAAGTGGATTCAAGTTCTAAATGCTTTCCTTCAATGGTTCCATTACCCAAAAGCTTAATAAAGTCTTTGAGATCGAGAACATAATATCCCAAAAGTACATGCTTGAAGAAAGCATTATAATCGTAAACTTGCAACTTGAATTTATCATTAAGATCATAAATTGGAATGTAAAACACTTGCTGCCACTCTGGATTGATAGTATTGTAAATAACACGAGTTTCGCCGTATTCATAACCAGTAGATACACTTGAGATTTTCATATAAGGATCAGAGGCACCACCACCAAACCAAGAGTCGGCTTGCATGAGATTCTTTGCTTTGATAATGTTAATTCGTGCAATACCGTAAAGGGTTTTGGCTAGAGTTTATAATTTAAATGAAATTAAGATTAACCGTTTTAGTTGACGGTGACCCTTAAAGGGATTTAACAAGAATCAAAATATAAACTTTACCAGGAACGATTCCACCCCCGAATGTAATTTCTCGGGAACCTTTCCTAATGGAATTGATCTCTTCGGAAATAATCTTCATAAATTGAGAATCCAATTCAAAGGCATCTTCTTTAACGCTATATCGCTCTTTCACATATGAACTGACAATGTTAAATGCTTCTTGTTCAATTGATTCTCTGCTTTTGAATTGTCCCCATAACCATCTGTAAGATCTTAAATAAGTATCCTTCCATTCGGCTTGATGTTCCACGCAGACTAGTCGTAAGAAATGCAATACAAGAATATTAACCCAGACTTGAGTTACCAAATGCGTGATTTTTGAGTTTTTAGCATGCTTGTTTATATGTACAGTGAGTGCTGTGCGGAGTTGATCAGCATTATCAAATGAAAGGGACTTCGCAAGTTCATCATTGATTTGGAATGCACCATTAGTTTTAAGTTGAAATTTCATGATACGATGAATGTGTGTTGACTTGATCTTTTCTCGTGTAATAACCGTTTTTTCTTTATATGAGTTAAAAAAGTAAAGGATTTATTTTCACGTGATGCCCAAACAATAATAATAAAAGCAAAGCACGAACTACTTACGTGGATCACTGGTCTTAATGTCAAATCTTTCACGGACGGCTTTTCTTCCAGAGGCAATAACAATCTCTTCGATTTCCAAGTCACCACTAATCTCTTTACTGATATATTGTTCTGCACGTTCATAAGCGCCGCTCCATTCATTTCGAAAGTCTTTTAATAAATATCTCAAGAACCATAAAACCTATAAAAAATGACCAAAGGCATTTTTTGATTTTTAAAAATCAATTGTCAATACGTGTCTTTTTTTTTTTTTTTGAAATGACAAGTATGCGCAAAACTCACCATACTAGTGGTCCAGATCGTTTTGTTAATTTCCAAGACTCTCTCTTCATGACAATTGGCTCTATATAAACTAAACATGGCTTCCGAATCGGGATAACCAAATAAATTGGCTAAGGTGTTAGAAGGAGCGAAGCTACCATCTGGTGACTGCAACGTGATAAGTGTGAAAAGTGTTGATCGATCAAAGGGTTTTTCTTTAAGATTTGCAAGAAAATCTGTCGATGGTTCCGGCAAAGGAGTTAACGGGAAGAATTTTGCTTTGTAGTGAATTTGTCCTTTGATTGAAAGTTTAACCCAACTGAATATTTAAAATTAAAAGACATGAGTCACCAATTAATAAATTATTACTAATACACCATAGATCTTATGTATACTTACGTATCAATACCCGCTGCTGTTCCTTCATATAAGTCATCTCCAACTTCTTTAACTACTTCTCTAGTAACTTCGAAAACACATTGACCAAGCGTTTTGTCCTTGGTGAAGGTATTGAAATCCATCACTTCCAAGATGAACTTATCACCAATATTCTTTACTGGTAAATAGTGAACTTCGTTCCATTCAGGATCCAAATTATTATCGATGACTTTGGTTTGAGCGATAACATCTTTACCACCCTGGTGAAAAACTCGAACATAAGGATCGGATTTTCCTAATTCAAGGCAAGAGGGAAATTTTCGTGAATAACTTTATGATTCACGTGATCACGCATTAGAACTTGATTAAAATTCGTTACCTCCTGTGAGGAAAGAGTCAACGCTTTTAAGATCCTTTGCTCCCACTAATTCCAATCTAATGACACCGATAGCACCTCCGCCTAAAGTGGAATTAAAAAAAGGGGGCAAAATCATGAATACCGATGGTCAATTCATCACGTGTCATGTGAAAATCACATAAGATACATACTACGACTTTTCTTCTTTGATAAAGCGATCACTGTCCACTTAGCATGATTAGACTTGCCAAAAGCTTTAGAACCACTGTCGGCGAGCAAGATAGAAGCACCTTCTTTCACGGAACCTTTAACGTCGATAACGTGTTTAGGATGGCTTTGTAAGGCAATATGTCCATCCTTGTTTATGTTCCATCGTTGATTTGCAGCTTGATGAGGACTCTTTCGATGGTGAAGGATGAGACGGTTACCAACTTTTCCTACGTAACATACAACGAATCGAACGATTAGCATTTATTCAGAAGTCACATGATCAACGATGTCACGTGATAAGCAGACTGATTGATTGAGCCGTGTAACATCAGATATAAGTACTGGACGCGAAATGATGAATTAACCTTTTTGGGGGGTTTTTTTTTTTAATTCGATGATAACTTACCACTCTCAGCTTCTAAACATAGAGAAGTTTGTTTATTAACGAGCCAACCGTCTTCATACTTCCAAAGTTGATATGGGTCGTGGTCAGCGTCACTTTTTTGTAGAGCAACAACAGTTTTTGAACCGTCTTTAATTGCACCCCAAGACACAAAAAAACCGCGTTCAACGTCCACTACCAAATTTTGGGAGGCAGGGGAAGACGTGGAAGCACCCGAAGGTGAGTCAGCAGACTTAATGTAAAAGAAACCTTTAGGGAATTCCATACTAGTCATTAACGTAAGTTATTATTTTACAATATGGGTTTTTCAAACGAGAAATACCCAAGAAAATGAAATTGCTTTTTTTCTTTTGAAAATGAATAAATGAAATATATAATTAACAATAAATACAAAATAAATACAACAAGCGTCCCCGAAAAATGAATTTTTCGGTGTAAAGGAAAAAAATAAAAACCACCCAAAGCTCTTTTATTATAAAAAAAAAAAATTATTTAGATGAAATTTATTTATATTACACGAGATTTTCATCAATTGATAAGAATTACAAATAAAATAAAAAAAAAAAAAAATACTTTATTTTTAAACTAATATATTTTTTTCCCATGCATAAGAAAAAAAAAAAAAATTTCAAAAAGATGTGAAAATCTTTCGGCTGAGATGTTTGGCTAATTTTTTATCGTCACACAGCAACAAATTTGGGGGAAAGGGGTTATAATGAAAGACGCGTATTTCATTTCTTTCTTAAAGTCAAGCCTGATTTCGATGATTGATAACATTATATTATTTGCAACGGAAAAACTTACACTAAAATTTCATATGTGGAAATGAAGGGATGAACTAAAAAGAAGAATAATGATTAATAAAATTTCAAACGCATCGCGGAAGAAACGCGCAACCTATTAAATTTTTTTTTTTTTGCTTTACCATCAATGGAAATTGTTAATACATATTTTTGTGTAGTTATTTTTTCTTTGTAAAAAAAAACACACCCCCAAGGTAACACAGCGGAAGAAAACACGAACTGTACATACATGATTTTTATGATTAAAAAAAAAAAAACAGGTAAAATATCAATTATCTCAATCTTATTTTACTAAATGTGGAATGGTGAAAATAAAACAGGTATTATTTGATAAAGTGATGCGGGATCATCCATTCAACACAATCATAAAAAAAAAAAAAGAAACTCGCGAATTTGTTGAGAGTTGATAAACGAAAGCAAAAAGAATATTATTAAATTTTGAAGTCCATCTTTTTTCAATAAGAAAACTTGATAAAAGCAGGTTTGACAGAGATGCAAACGATAAGAGTACCTTAAATTATAATATCACATTGACAGGATAAAATCAAAGAAGGTTGCAGGGAACATCACGATTCTTAAAATTAAATTTACATCCCTCGTGCACGCAGATCCATCTTCAGATCTGTTAAAAACGATCAGCCGCAGCAATTCTTGTAACGTTACATGATTACGAACCATCATCTTTTTTTTTTATGGGCTTAATTTAAAACAAAAGTGGACACGTAATTCGTCTCGTTTTAGAATAAAAATCTTTTCGAAGATGTGATGAATGTAATTTTTTTTTTTTTAAAAAAAAAAAAAAAGAATAATAATAAAAATGAGAATGTTCATGCATTCATAAGCACCTTCAGGGGGGAAAGATGTTTCATCAATTCCAAAATGCCAATCGGCACAAGCTATTCAGAAGCGATTATTGTGATTATTAAGATTATTAAAGATTATTAAGACAACAATGTTCATGTAATTTCCCCTCCATCAAGATGATTTTTTATTTTTATTCGTAGTCGATTCTAAAAAAAGTTATAATTAAAAATAGGCTAAGTATTTCAAACGGTTATCAGTGACAATCTAGGATGGGGGCGTGTAACGTTCAAGGAATGTCGCAAATAAAAATGTTTAATTAATACTTTTATTGACAATTTATTGCTTTGCAAATGTTAAAAATTGCTATAAATGTGTTAATTACTTATAACATTATCAAACACAAGTTAAACTATGACAAAAAACTTTTTTTCTTTTTTCCCAGGAAATTTGATGGCTTTTTGGTTTTTTGTTTTTTTTTTGTTGAACATATTTTAACCTTTTATCTCTCTTTCCCGGTTTAGACTTACTCTTTTCGTACACATTTAAAAAAAAAAATTATGATTAAACAACTGTCCTTTCCTCCAAATTTATTTATATATATATTTTTTTTTTTATCATCTTTGTTCTAAAAGTTTCCATCTCAACAAACTAAAATAAATATTTCATCTTTTTTTCGTTTTTGTTTTTTGTTTTTCCTTTCTTTTTTCTCTCTTTTTTTTTTTTTTTTTTTTTTTTTTTTTTGACCATTTTAAGTCACGCGTTTCAAAAAACTTTATTTGTAACGTCAGAAAAGTTTGACATAAACATCAACCCTCTTTATCAATCCTATAATTTTTTTATTTTCTAAAATTTGGTTCGTGCGATGATGTTCCAAATATTTTTCCCGATTTGTGATTTGATTATGTCGTTGTTTATATTGAGAATATGGTGTTATTACAATGCATGCACACACACAATAATTAAGAAAAATATTAGACAATTGTGGTCATAAATAAAGATAAGATTCATGCATGATTGCTGTGCCATATATTTTCTTCACATGATATTGTTTAAAGTTGTAAATAGAAATTTTGAATAGTAGCAAGGATTTCCATATATGGTAAATTTAAATAAACATGTTCTTTGTCTAAACAGTTGGTTTAACAATAAACTTTATATACAGTATATAGATATTTATAGATTTGTTCTTTTTGATTCTTTTTCAATGATCTATTAGATAAACGATAAAGTTTTTTTCTCGTCTTCTTTTTCTATTTTTGCAAACGATCAACTTGCATCATTTTGACAGGTTTCACGAGGGGGTCTCATCACTTGATACATTTTTGGATAACATTCATTGTATCCCAAGCAAGAATTTGATTCTACCCCAGATTATGGTGATTGCTAAGCCACGATTTAGGAGATAAAACTTTTATCAAAAAGAGTCACATGAAATTAATCCTTTCTTTTTATATCTATCATTAAAAAACATTCGTATATTGAAATTTCGATTGATCACCTAGTCATAAATAACTTTGGTTTAAATAAAATACAACTCGTAACAAAATTTTAATAAAATGTGCAAAATTATTACTATCTTTAATCTTTCTCAACGATACGTTGAAGATGAACTTCAATTTCTGCGGTTGACAAGGTTCTAAACTTTGGATCTGCTTCTGTGACGATCGCGACTTCAATTTCAGTTGGTTTAAAATCAGCTGACAATACTGATGAAAGCGTGTTAATGGCTAACTGTTATATTCAAAGGATATAAGTATGTTACGTGATTAATTATGACTATCGGGATATTATGAAACGATTTTTAATTAATCATACCTCTACTGTCTCTTCAAAATCTAAAACAGGATCCTTTTTAAGTTTCTTCTCCAAGTAGTTCAAGGCTTCTTGCTGCTTCGCTCCCGCAGCGGTAGCTTTATATCCAACATAATAACCAGCGGGATCACATTTGAAAAGTTGCGGTCCTCTTTCATCGTCATATCCGATGAGAATCATTGCTGTGAAAAATTTTTCAATTCATAAATCACAAAGAATTTTTTTTTATTTGCAATAAAAAAAATAAACCTTAAAACTCACAAACTCCCAACGGTCTCATGGCTGCATGTTGCGTATAAACTTGGTTAATATTTGCAACTCGTTTCGCGAGCATGTCCGTATGAATTTCATATCCAAATTTATAGTTAAATTCGGCAGCTTCTTGTCTTGCACGAGTAACTTGAGCCCTTGCATCAGCTTTTTTTATAATTAAATAAATTTTATAATTTAACTCTTAATATCCTGGATTAATGATCATGAAGCAAATGAATTAATCCAAAGAATTTCATACCTATTAACCCTGTCATGACACATCCGACGTAAGGTGATAATTTAAATATATGTGAAATGGTGGACGGATCAAGCAATTTGTCCTAATTAATAGTTGATTTCAAATAATAAAAATTTTTTAAAAAAAAGCAATTTTATTTTTTAAAATCCCATTAACTATTATTTATCTTTACCGGAATTTTTTTTTGTGTTACGATAACAACACTATCTTTACCACGAATACCAACGGACGTTATTCCAGAATTAGATATTGCCTTGAAAGCATACTCTATTATATTATTTATTTTTATAAAAATGAAGTTCTCGTGTTATCATAAAAAGTATAGTATAAAAGTCTCGAGATCGTATCAAACATACCAACTTGGTAAAGACGTCCTTCTGGTGAAAAGATAGTGATATGACGATCATAACCTGTGCTTGCTCCTACATTAATAAAATCACAAAGTTCAATATTTTAAATATAATCTTTTTAAAGAAGGTATTTTACAAGAACTTTACCGCGACTACTCATTTGGAAAAATTTTGATGTTCGGATTGCGAATCTAATTAACTCTAATTACGTATATATATATAGATTATCATTAACCACGTGATGATTTGCTGACCCTTGAAACTTTTGATTCGACAGGGTTATAGGTCATTATTATTTGGTTTTAATAATTAAAGTTTAATTAGTTTAATTACAGTCAGAACTCGAATAAACCAGTTTTTTAAAATTCACCTTATTCATTGTAATTTCTTCTTCGCAACTTTTTGTTTTAATACTAACAGATTCACGAAATACCAACCGAATTAGCAAACCGTTTGGTATTGAAATTGCAATTCCAAGTCATGTGACACGATCAACTTATGCATAGAAAATAATTGATTGCTAAAAAAAAAAAGTTTGACTAAAAAATGACCACCATCGAAGAAATAAGGAGTTGGAGAAATTTGAGAGAGAAAAACAGGATATGTTAAACAAGTTGCAATATAAGCTGTATGCTGAGAAATGGAGAAGTGGGGAGACCGAGTGTTGTATTTACAAATAGAATTAGTCGAAGGAAAGGTATTGAACAAATTATGTGAAAATAAAAAGTATACAAAAAATTATTTTCCATTTCATTCTAATATTGACTGACGAACTTGTTTATCACCGCTATCTATTGACTGACTTGAAATTTTTTTTCATAACATTCTGGTGAAAGGTGTGTAAACTTTTTTGTAAAGGAACAGAGTCTTTCATACATCTCTTTGATATCTTAATATTTACCTATTTGTTAATTTCTATTATTTTCATAGACGTCTTTGATGAAATATTACATGAACTACTCAAAAGTCCTAACGAAATACCTGATAGATAGAATCTTATACAATTTCTTAACGAACCACCAAATGTCAAAATACCACTTATTTCTTCCCTCTTTTAATTCAATTTCTACAGTTGGTCCCTTCAAAATAACTGAAACTGAACGTGATCAATATTTTTTCCTTGATAATTTCAAAAGTTGCACATCTTTTTTATAAATTTGTTATCTGATATAATTATTATTCACAAAACTGGTGAAACTGAAGACTCATACCACAGCTTCTGGGATGATGTGATTAAAAAAGTCTTTTGAAATATTTGGCATAAACTTGAAGTCAATGGAGTTTGACTGTAATATAAACAATAATACATGTTCAGGTATAATTATTTTTTTAAAAAGGTTCATGGTTGTAGTTGTATTTACAAAATTAGAATTGATAATAATAATAATTTTTTTTTTTTAGGTCTATGTCAACCTGATTTTATTATGTTACTGGAAAATCTTTGTCTTGTCCGTGGTGAAGAAAAGCCATGAGTTGATAGAGGAAAACCAGAAAAGAAAGAAATAGTAAAAGATACAAAAATAAAATTAAAGAATCAAAATTACAAATAATCTTATTGACTACACATGTCTCAAGAGGTATCTTGCCAAATTATTTAAAGATATATTAAAGGAAAAATTAATTTTACAGTCAGTTAGGAATGTAATATCACTTCCGCTATTATTGGTAAAACTCTCAAGATTAAAGAGAACATCACTCGCATTCAACATTTCACAGCTCAGCATGATGATTCGAAGGACGCTTTTAGAGCCTTGTAATAGTTGTGCTTCGCATAATCAATCCACATTTATTCTATCGAATATGTCAAATAAACACCGTGGAATATTATTAAAATGAATTATAGCGGTAAGTGTAAATCGGAAACCCTCACCTTATTTATTTTTTTACCCCATTGCTAATCTCAAGAATTCTTCCCATAGATTCGAAATCATTTCATCGAAGTTACATAGTCCATGTGAGTATGAGTGATATAGATAGACGAAAATTCTGTAAATATAAGTGGTGTAAATTATTTCGGAAATTAATGTAGAAAAAGGGTGTTGTGTGACAATTTCTTAATTAGCAATAGTAATAGGGAAAAAACAATTAGAATAGAAATTTATAAATCTAAGAGCAAAGAAATAACTTGATGCTGGGACTCCTCTTTGATAGCAATATATATTTCACTTGCAATCTATATCATTTATATAATATCACTTAACTGTCCTGTTTTTCTTAATAATAATAAAGTTTCGGGCTTTACATTTTAAACCATTTGTGGTGTTCGAAAATATAAATTTTTTTGATAAAAAGTGAGCTTGAGCTGGTAAGAGGCTGACGACCATCAAGAAATGACTTGAATATCTACTGACTCATAACTTCGAAAAGAAGTATGACATCTCCAAGGTAAATATACCAAGGGAAGACCTCGCCGCCAATTGCCTGGAGCAGACACGAGGAACTTCTCGCCGCCAATTGCCTGGAGCAGACATGAAGCAAGGCATTTCCTTGGTAAATATACCAGGGGAAGTCCTCATCGCCGAGGAACTTTGGCATAGTTGCACCCTCGTTGTCCACCAGCTTGCTGATCAAGTAGTTATTTTTATCGATCAAAACCGATCAGAAAAGACGCGACGTGTCACAAAAACGTAGCACAATTAAAACAGTATAAAAATGCTATTTTATATATTTTTTTACACATACATACTTTGAGAATCAGAAAAGACGCGGCATGTTACAAAAACTTAGCACGATCAAAACTAATAAATACGCTATATTTTCTAGAAGAGCTGTATATTTTCCTCGCGAAACATGACTGCAGTTCTTAGGAGCAAGACATACTTGGATTTTAAAGTACCTAATAAAAAGTATACCTACGTTTACTTTAAGATGGTAGAAGCGCAATTCTGGCAATTAAAACATTATTTAGGTTTTCGTCTGAAAAATGATGATATAATTTTACCATGGTCCGTTGTCTACGATGATTGGCAAGTTTCTTTGAATCGTATTGCACAAAATACAATTAAGAAAATTCCAGGCTGTATAACCGTATTCTGTAAGGAACTCCTTAATATCTGTAATACCTTTGAAGGATCCGAAATACGGCAAAGATGTGAGGAGTTGTATGATGATTTTTATCAACGGAACCTTGACAAGCAGATTGCAGAGAGAATTCGGCTCCTTGACACAACCGTATTCTCTGAACATAAATTTTCAGAATTTCTACGAGCATCGAGCAAAAAACGGACAGGAGAGAATAACGAAGCCTCGTCGAGCGGAAAACGAGTTCGTCATGTAGATCACGCGGATAATTTCGTACCTGAATTGGTTTGTACTTAAATTCATATTGTTTTTTATGGTGTAAGATACTATTGACAATTTATTCTAACTTATCTCTTATAAGTTCCAAAATCACGAAGAAAATGAGGAAGTCTTATCTTCTGACGTTGAATGTTCTAATAGAAAACAAGATGATGATGTAAGCTTAATAAATATATTGTTACATGTGATTTTTAATGATACTTATAACGTTATTATTACCTTGCAGGAATCTATTTTGAAAATCTTTGGAAATGAGATTGAATACTCAGAGACAATGAAGGGCATCTATCTTGAACATAAAAAACACTATCCTGGTAATACCATAATTGATTTGCGACCAAGGTCTAAATTTTTCAAACAACTTTCTAATAAAGTTGTCCAAGATTATAATCAAGAAATTGAGCAGAAATCAGGCAACCTGATTCCAGATAATGTTCATGATTTTCTTGTCGATTTTTTCTCTCAAGAGCTGACAGAAGCTGAATGGCAGGATAAGATTGATGACTTTCAATCTCCAAAAAAACGATGATAAACCAAATAGTGATGATAAACTGTTAGTGGCGACAATAAGAATAATACGACGTACGTTACCACAATTGTAAGTACAAACAATTTATTGATTTATTAAATAAAGTTTTATACTAATTTTTATATTGCACTTATTTTTGTAGTATAAAGGCATTTTCTCTTGGCGCATTTAATCCTCTGCAAGACATTAAAGCAATAGAAAAACCTCATTTAAATTCATACGTTCATCCATGCCTGGAAGCAGCACTATGGCATGTTGCACGAATTAATTATATATTTGGGGAGATTCCTTCTCAAAACCATGTGAAGCGAGAATGTGCCGATGGTGCCGGGTATATGACGGGCGCTGATAAATTCCAATTAATATATGTGGAAGGGGCAAGGCCTAAGGCGAAGGAAAATAAAGAATTGGCAGATGCAGAAAAAATTGCAAGGAATTTAGAAACGATGTTTGCATCAATTGGTAGAGAAACCATTAACAATAGAAGGCGTATCCCAAACGGAATGGCTGTCTTCGGAGGACAGAGTTTTCGGCTTCGCATTCACCTCTTTTATCTCGATTACTGTGGTATGTTATTCTTTTATTTTTCATTGTCTGTTAATATATTTCTTATACCAATATTGCTATAATTATAGGCGAATTCTGTTTACATGAAATTGAAAATGCAAATCTTCCTCGAGATTTTACTGAGATGGCAGACTTTGTGTGGTATTATGAATGCATTTTAAAATGGGCAGTATGTATTAACAGTTTTTATTTTAATAATTTTAATACATATTATAATTATGGTAAGTAAAATTTAATTCTGTCAATTATAAATTTAGTTGCTTGCTTACGATATGACAGTAAAATTCAAGGAGATAAGAAACCAAAAAAGGCCTTCAAGACAATCATATACAAATAATATCCGTTTGCTTGATGATCACTAACTTGAACAACGGGCTTATTGCTGAAAAGTTATCTGATTCTTTTGTATAAATAAGAAATCGCAATTTTAAAAAGTCTTATTATCTTTATTTTAATTTTTGTAATAAATACTGTATATGGGATCTTTTTATTTCAATGATTTTTAAAACATCATATTGTATTGAAAGTATAAACCAGACACTGCACCGTTTAAGTATAATTTTATGACTCCGTTCGATTTTATCACTGATGTGACAAACCATGATAGTCTTGTGACAGCCACAATAGCCAATAAAAAAACTCGTCACATCTGATTAAGATTAGATCGTGTTTTGCAGCTAACGCGTTATATTTTCAAGAGAAAAGATTTCCTTAAAATTTTGTAAAGCCGAAAAAAATCTGAAGTCCAATTCACTTTCCATTAATTAGTAGATCAGCATAGCTGACTTATTATTTTATCGCAATAATTATTATAAGAAATATCACGTGATATGTGATAATTTGTGATGTCTACGATAACAGGAGAGACCGTTCTAGTTACACGAAATTTCGGTTTTGTCACACGAAATTAACCAATCAAATCATAAAATTTCGATATTATCACATATTATTTGACCAATAGGATTTCGTTATATATAAGAGT